CTACAGAAGCTACATGCTCCACACACAGTCTGTTCATCTAAGGATCTGTTCTCCCAGGGTGGCACAGCTGAAGCTCCTGCACTGGCCTTCAAATCCATCCATGCATTCACTATCCCACTCCAGGCCCAGTCTTGCTCTCACTGGAAGAGCCTTTCTCTGCTGCATGGAACAGCCAGGCCAGATGACCTCATGCGATCTGCCCTCACTCAGCTTTCAGTGACAAAATGACCTCAGTGGTCTGCAAGGAAGCAGAATCCTTTCAGTTGGAGGGGTAATGAATGGCACGATCACATTATCAAGCTGCTTCTTGCTTTCATTTCTGTGGGAAAAAGAAATAAGAACTCCGCTAAATCCACACTCAAAGGGATGTGAAACCAATTAGTAGCCTGGCTCAGGACCCATGAAGTTGCTGTCTACACCATGAAATGTTATAAAACAAAACACAAAAGAAAAATCAAATCAATAAGGAACAGTCCATGCCAAGCAATAAGCCTGCAGGTGCTTGCAAGGTGCAAATTCAATATGAATAGTGGCACTTTTAGAAAACTAGCTATGACTGAGATGAAACCAAGCAGAACAGAAACTCAGGAGCAAGAGAGGATGCATTTTCAAAATATGTCAGGATTTATTCTGTTCCTAAAATAACCAGACAGTTAATCCACCCTGCTGGCAGGTGCACGAGAGTAGGTGATTCCTTGCAACTATTCTCATTATATTTTTTCCCAGATGGGGATAGCAGGAAAGTGAGCAGGGGCAGAAGATAGAGATGGAGAGCCCATTTGCCTAACTTTCAATGTAACTGATCATGCAAAAACAGCGGGCCACTCAAACAGAATTTCTTGAGTGAGGGTGACATGTAGCATCGGTTCAAGTGTCTCTGTAGGCACCAGCTTCTGCAATGCATCTTTGGGAATTAAGGCTACATCATCTGTGGGAGGTGGGATGATGGAGGCTTTGGTGCATGTGCACAACAGCTTTGTCTCAAGTGGGAAATGAGTTGATCTGGCTCAAGAATGGAAAGGGCATTTCTAACTTCTAATTTTGAGTTCAACATGTTGCTTTCTTATGAACACCACACCCTCCGCCCTTTATCTCTCTGCTAAAGAAGTTTCTAGGGAAAGAAAACAATAGCAGCCTTTCTGAATTAAAATACTTCAGTTACAATCAATTTCCATTTAGAATACTTGGAATAAAATGCTAAAAAATAGAAGTCATTTCAGAAACAGTATTTTCTTTTGTACCCCAATAAGTCAGTTTTAACATTGTTGGAATTCCCCCAGCCTGTTTTTCTTCCCAAAACAAAGCTGCTTTGCTTCCAGAAGGTGCAGCAGCACCGATACACATAGAACCTGACATCAGTGCAACATGGCTTCTTCAGTATTTCTCCAGTCTGCTCCAGTAATCCACAGAAGGATGAGCTGGTCACATCTGCCAACCTCCTCCAAAAATGTGGATACTGGGATTAATTCTTGGGGTTTTTTTTCGTATGCACTGAGTAATCCCTACAAAGTGTCACCATCCCAAGTCCATCATTACCACCCAGCTACCCTGGAGGGAGGAGGAGTATAGAATAAAGCTGTTTTGTATTTTCAGATATGGGAAAATAGTAGCCATGTTATATAGAAAAAAAAAACAAAAGCACTTCAGAATGACTCTGTAGAGCAGTTTGTGCTGCACATTCCCAAGCACTGGATTCCTGGAGGTAGGAAATTTAATCCATATTTATTTAATTATTTTAATTTAAAAAAAACAAGAAATGACCTCAGAGTTATATGTTTATTATCAGCTCCAATGCACTTGTCACAGCTGTGGCTGAAAGGGAAGCCAGGGGAAGATTTGAAAATAAGAAGAATCCAAGAAATTTCTCCATTTCAAATGTCATTGTTTTTTTCTTCCTAATTAGAATACAGTTTGCCTTTCGGATGCCAAAGTTTCTGCATTAGTGGCTTTTAGCATGATGTCATTTTCCTGTCTATATGACCACAGCACAGCCTTACCTCAAGTGTTTGCTAACAACAGAAAAATAACTGTGGAAACCTATATGCAATTCTACAACATCTGAATTAGTGCCACACCACTAGCAGTCCCAGCTCAGGAGCAGACAGGCAGGACTGCTACAAGGGGATGTGTGCATTCATTCTGATACTTTCCAGAATGTGAGGCCCTGCCAAAAGTACCCAGCAAGTTCTTCTCAGAGACTTATACAGTTACCTGCTGCAGCTACCCATGTTTTATGCGCACATGTGAAATGAAGGTAGTTTGTCTTTTAAAAGAAAACAGGCAGAAAAAGAATTAGTAGACCAGATTTATTCCACTTACAACTACATTATGTTATTCCAGAGCCAAATTTCATCCATATGTGAATTACAGCCTTTCAATGACTTTAAGTACAAGCAATTTCTGGTTTGCTATCTCCCTCTCCTTCCAGTTGCCAAGCAAATAAAACCACTGGTAGTTGATATTTGTATTAGAATTAGCATTGCTAAAGTCTTAAAGATCTAACTCAATTTCTTCAGGACAGTTCTTCAAACTATTTAAGAATGGTTCTCATCCCTTCAAGTCTCACTCAGAGCTTTGACTCAGGAGAGTGTGAACACCAAACTAGGATGAAAGCACAAACGATAACAGAAGTTAAAAGGTAATTTTGCTTCAATAGCAAGCCAGCAGCTGTTCATCCTTCTTGTAAACTGCATGTGGATAACGTGGGTTTGGGTTATAGATAGCTTTGCTTTTTATCTGTGTCAGCAACTGGCTTGACAGCAGCAGGTTTGTTAATGCTCAGTTTTCTTACGGAAAGATTTCAATGAACATGTTGGGTTGCCTTCTGATTTTTGGATCATCCACTATCATATGTGCTTAACAAAATTCCACCAGCTGTGGATCCTGAGAAAAACTCAATCCTTTTCTGCCACATTCAAAGCAACATTGGAAAAGCCACATGGAGAGGTGCCCAGGGATGCTGCAGCCTGCCCAAGCACAACCCAATGGGTGGAGATTCTCTCATCTCCACTCAGCACTGAACCCAATGCACATCAGGTGCAAAAAGAGGCAGGCAAGGTTACAAGAAACCACGGCATCCCACTCTGCTCTTTCCCAGAAGTCAAGGCACACACACTTTACGTGTAACACTTCAGTTATTATTTGACAAGCATCCCAAAAAGCCATCTTGCTGACCCTCCCTCAAGTCTCTGTGCCAAACCCATTCATACCAGAATGATAATAGTTGACAGGAATCAGTTTGGTTTGGCTGAAAAGGCGGCATCTTAAGGAAAAAAAAAATGGTTTCAGAGGCCCACCCAAAAATGCAAAGGCTGGACTCTGTCTGAGAGCACAACTTGGCCTCCTGTCTCCACTCCCACAAAAAAAGCTTGTAAATGTTATGCTCTTTGGGCTGTATTTTTTTTTTTCCCTGCATTAAAAACTGAGTGAATTTAGTGCTTATAAAACCAAGGGGCTGATAGCAACTGGCTAGAACCAGATGTTAGGAAGACTGGAGCATATCATACAAACAGATCGTGCACACATAACATCTCAGAAGTATGTAGCTGCATTACTTATTCTCAGTCAAGTTACCAAACAGATTGATTTCTGAAGGAACATAAAAACATTATGCTCAAATCTCAAGATTTAGGAAGAAACAGGAGTAGGGGGGGAAGCTCAAGATATCTGTAAGTATCCAAAACTATCTGCTGGGAGAGAAGAAATATATTCCCTGTCTCCCATCCTTTGGGGTTTGATTCTTCCATGCCACCCCAGCCAGAGTGCATGGAGCACCGAGCAGGGACACAAATGCAGGTGCTCAGCCCTGGGGGAGAGCTGCACACTTTTCAGCACAAGGGACAAAATGAGCTCCAGGGACATCCAGTCCCACATCCTCCTAACGAGAAACCATATGGAATACTTTAGCCACCACCATTCAGCTTGTACACAGATTCAAACACCTTTAGGAGGAATTGTGCCAGAAACAGGTGTCTGAAGAGCAGGTATCTCTTTTGACAGGACAAAGAAGGCAATGGATGCCATCTGCCAGGAAGACCTCTGGAAAGACAGCCTTGTGTAGTTGGCTCTCAAGGAATTTGAGCTCTTTGTTTTGATAGGTTGAAGGTGTTTTTCCAAACAGAAACTGAATTGCACCAACTTAGAGTGAAGTGTTTCAGTTTATAGCTGTTTTCTCCTTGAGATTTCTGTTAAAAAAAAATTAAGCAACCTAAAGTCTCCTCCTGCCTAGATTCCACATCTCCTGCTCCATTTAGTGTATCCCTACAGGTCTCACATAAACACCAAGGCACCCCAAAGCTCAGTTTGGGGCTCTCAGGCTCCCCCTAACACCTTCATCCTTCCACAGCATTTCAGTGGGGTCTCATACTTCACTGACAATAAAGGAAGCCTTCTCAAGCCTTTGCCCAACTTGCAGCCAGCCCTGCTGTGAGTCCCTACTGACCAGCAAGCAACAGCACAAAGCCAACATAGCCACAACTCAGTTTCTTCTTACAGCTGCAGTTAATTTTCTCCTACACCTCCATTTCACAGACTTAAATTTGGAGCCATCACGTGCCCCAGCTGAGCCCTTTGCACCCCACAGGCCCTGCACCACATCACAGGTGTGCCAGCAGCAGTGAAGTATCTACCATTAGTATAATGCAATCACGTGCCAGCAACACCTGAAGTCCTGGGCAGGGCAGGGATTCAATGGGAGACATCTGCTCAGGAAATCCTACATCTGTAATAACAACAACTGTGGTAACTTCAACCAAGAGAATTATTTCCTGGCTAGATCCAGCAATCATTCCAGTCTGTAAGCAAGAACTGCTTCAACAAAACGTAGGACTTCATGTCACCATAACATAGCAGCAGTGGGTTGTCAGCAGGCATGCTTCCTACAGCCCATCCCTCTTTCAGGTCCACATTCAGGACACCATCACAACCTTCTGTTTTCAGACCACAAACCCATGCCACGAGGACTGCACTCATGTTCAGTTTCACACACAGACCACACTCACCTTATTTATATGCTCTGTCTGAATTGTGGAAAGACAGGCTTCTTCAGTTGCCTATCCAGCACATAACTAGGATCCTGATCACAGGTTATTACGTAGAGCCTGGAAGAGAGAAGATGGGAAGTTAACAGTAGCACTGAACACGGTGGTGGAGGAGGCAATTTTAATCCAGTGACTCAAACTCAGAAAGCAGAAAAGTTGCAGTGTATTAAACTGTGAAGAGTTTACAAGATCTGTACATCTAAAATACAGCTCTGAGAAATTACTCCTTAAAGCAGGCAAGCAAGAGCATCTCAGACAGAACCAGGAGAATATTGCTTTCATGGGAAACACTCTGTGGGTGTGTTATAAGCTCTGTTCCCTGGCCTGTCACCACATTAGTTCTTATATTTCTCTCTTTGCTCATACTGAAGCACTGTCCTGTGATAGAGTAGAAATGCATTTACAGCTGAAATTACAAAAGTGGCCCATTATGTTCTTTAAGGTAGTAAAAAGGCTGCAGTTTGTCACAGCTGTCTGGAGCCCAGGACGCCTACACTTGGCAGAGCTGAGATCCTTCTCCCTCTCCCCCCTCCCAGGCTGAATCTGTGTATGTGTGCACACAGATTAAGGCTATGTACAAACAACTCTTTAATGTGTTCTAAGACAAAAATAAAAATGGCGCTGCAGCGAGGCAAGAGGTCAGAGCATTCCTAAGCACTTATTTCAGAGTGGCTCCCATTCGGTTCCCACTTCCTGGCTTCCCACAGCAGCTGCATCAGTTCTCCTACCTTCCAGGGCAGGGGGTGCAATGGGTCACCTCAGGGGCTTTTTCCTGAGGCATAACATCTCAGCACAGCCATCAGGAAAGGTGCAAAGACATGGGAGAAAGGCGGCTGACTATTACAGCCAAGCTCAGAAGTCCAAGAAGCTCCAGCCCCACCTCGCTCCAAGCCAACCCCTTCCCTTTGAAACTTCCCAAACCCAACACAGAAACGTGCCAGCCCCTCACCTCTTCTGTAGTTCCACTTTTGGAAAAGGAATTTAATAACAGCAAGAACAAGTAGCTTTTGAGCATATTCTATGCTCCTACACCTAAACAGAAGCAAAACTTCACAACCAGAAAACCACCCCCAACAGCACATCCCAACCACCAGCTCCTCTTCTGCTCCTCCCCCCAAGCTTTTATAAGGTCAGGTTGCTCAGCTGCCAGTCTGATTGGGTCCTTGGCAACCAAAATGAGGAAGCCCAGCCCAGGCCCCACCCATTTCAATCAGTTATGTTAATTGTGCCCTTCATTCCCCTCAGGTGTGCTGAGGTTCTTTCTGGGTGTTAGTGCAGGGGGCTGGTGGCAGGCTGTATGAAACAAGCTATGTTGTGGCAGTTCTGGAGCTTCTGCTTCATGCCTTTCCTCATAAAAGGGGCTGCAGGAGGCTCAGTTGCAGTCTGGTGCAGCTCCTGCAGTTAATGTGCTAGCATCCCTCTTTCAAAATGGGTTTCTGAAAGGCAGATCTCAGGTCTGAGCAGGGTTAGGTTCAGCTGGCCGGGCATTTACCAGCAAGTAAATGCGGTCTGTGAGGTCCTACCAGCCCTTCTTCTGTATCTGAGCCCTTGCACTGACCCTGAAAACACTGACAAGGATTTGCAGGGGTGGGGGAAATTCTAATCCAATCACTGCAAACCACGGGCTGTGAGAAGGTTTGGCTTAGGTTTGAGTTTCAGTGTGATACAGTATTAAATCATCCGCATCCCATTAATGCTTTCTGAGCTAGGTGGGAAGACAAAGCAGTTGTATGCTGTTGAGGCAGCCTCAGTGGGTTACGTTAGAGGATGGAAAGGCGATGCTAAGGGTAGCACTGCTGGTGTGCACACAACTTAAGTGCTCTTTACAGTGAAGCTAGGCTACCTCAATTGGACCTGCACCAATGAGCCAAACATCCTTTTTGTTTTGAGTTGGTTTTTGTGTTTTCTTTTTTCGGCCTGTGAAAGAACTGAGGGTTTTACCCAGTGGCCAATAAAGGAGAACCATCAGCCACTGTGCGCGGAGCAGCTTGTCACACATAGGCTGAAAGGGAAAATAAATAAAGAGTGAATTCTTCAGAGCAGAGGGAGTTTCCTTTCTCTGTTAGTCCTGCATAGGCCTCAAGATGGAAATCTACTCTCAATTGAGGCCTTTGGGTGCTTGTCTAGTATAAATATTTACTAATAACGTAGAGAGTGAGAGCAGGAGAATAGTCATTTTTCTCAGTGGCTCAGGGTTAAGTACAGGGCAATGGCATCTTAAATCCAGATGTTCTCCTTTTGGGATTTGCCCACAAGGCATATTCTCATGAGATTTCTCTGGCATTTTGATTTGGATAGTAGCAAGCACTTTTAGCCCAATGATATCATGAGCAGATGACTCAAAACGTTCAAGGATTTTCTTTGTAAATTCCAACAGTTTATTTTATGAGTAACAGGAAGAAGAAAGTTTTGCAGATTTCATCTTATCATCCTTTTATATTCCTATTTCCAGTTAGTTTTAAAGGACACTGAACTTGGTGTTCTAGCAGAAAACTTATTTCAATGTATATTTCACATAAATAAAAATATTGAGCTGACACGCGTGTGTGTGGGAGCTGTTCCTGAGTTACTGGTAGAACTCATCCTGAGGAAGAGACAGAAACAATGCAGGTGCCCTTTTGGGACAATAAAGTGGAATAAAAAATAGAAAACCCTTTTCCATTGCAATTTTTAACAACACTTAACGATATTTTATCACCTTGCTTGAAAAGAATGCCTCAGTAGTTCAAAAGTCTTATACCTTTGGCCATAATATGCAGAGTGCCCAGACCCTAACCTTATAGAAAATGCCCTGAGTGCAGCATGGAACTGTGCAGGAAGATGCACACCATTTACCAGCCCTACATGCACAAGTGAGCTGCATATTTAAAGACTGAGCAAATGTTAGGCACCAGAACCAGAGCGAATAAATGCAGGAAATTCATTGGAGGTGAAACTGGTCTGACTTGGCCAATACCATTTCACAACATCATCAATCCAAGGCTTGCACAGGGGTGATTTTTCACTCCCGTCCAATTCACTAAGGAGTTGCACGCTACTTTGGTGGATTTTCTGCACAATTACAGATTATTGCTATGGTAACAGATGCATCACATGACAACTTTGTTACCTCAGAGACAAGAAACAGCTGCTTAAAGAAACAGGCATCCTCCAGGAATGGGGATATTTCTTTCTTTCTTTTTCTTTTTTTTTTTTTTTTCCCTTGGCCTCATATTGTTTTAAAAGGCCTTGCTGATTTTCTCATGGATGCAGCTTCCCTCACTTTGATAGTTAAAAATATTTCAGTGCATCAACTGAAAGGTATTTTCTCCCGGATCATATTTTCCCCTCTTGCAGCATATGTTTGAAAGAAAAAAAGTGAAAAAGAAAATAGAGTTCTTGTAATTTGGGAGAGAAGCAAAATGTGGTTTTTTTTCTTCCCTCATCAGCAGCTCTTTCTAGTGCTGCCGTTTTGTTGTTATTAAGTTAAAGAGTATTGAAACGTTGCTAATGATATTATTGGAGAGAAATCCCAGATCCCTGCTGCAGGTTCCTCTGGAGCACCAGCCACACATGAACATGCCAATGAGAACCAAGGTGTGCCATATTCTTGTGTCATTTGGTAATGATTCTTAGTTCAGAGGGGTCAGTTGCTGCTGCCATTTGTAGGCAATTTTAAATTAAAAAGAAAAACAACAACAACAACAAAACTCTTAAAAACCTCTCTTAGTAAAGTAGCCGGTTTGGGTTTTTAATTCCAGCTACCAACATATTCTCATTTTTTCAGTACGTAAGGTATAATAAAAACGTCATCTTTTTACCCCTGTTTTACAACCCGTTCTCCTATTCAATATCCCCTGTTCACCTCCTTGCCTCCAGCGCCCATCCCACGCAGCTCTGGGGCTGCCCCCAGTCCCTCTGCTCTCTGCTGCCAGCAGCCAGCAGTGTTAATTAAGGAGCTCCTGGGCTGGCGCTCAGACAGCCAGACCACTTCAGCTCACTGTGAACGTCTGATTAATTAAAGGCTTATAATTAACCTTCATGGCTGGAATTTCCCAAAGACCTTCATGGACTGAGGTGCAGAAATCCCATTGACTTGAATGGGAGGTTGGAACCAAATGACTTTTGTCCCTCACTAGGAATCACCCTATGCATGAGCAAAGCAAAATGTTTCCTTTTCTCAGGTTTATAGGTGTTTTTTCAGGCTCACAGGGAGAGCTAGGAAATACATCACATGCAGAAAGCAGCTCTGTGCCCCTCTGTGCTATCACCATCCCTGCACCAAGGTAGGCATCGTCCAATACAGTTACTCCAGATTTACCCCAGCATAAAGGAGAGCAAGAGTCTGGCCTGCAGTTTTCATGCCAGTGGCCTCAGTAATGAGGGCTGAGGAAAAAGAAATACATCAGACACGTGAGAGAAAAACAGATATTTTTCTTTAACCATTTTTTGTAGTTCCTTTCAGGAATCTTATTTTCTTTTTCCCAAATGTTAACTGGTGAGCTACTTCTGCATAGGGCATTTTGGTTAATGAGGCCAGTGCCTTAATGTGTTTTTCTCCAGTTAAGTATTTCTGGTAAATGAGATTCTGTTGTACAGCTTAATTTAGCACTGTTATTTTTGTTGTTGTTTTTATTTGACCACATGGAGCTCAGCAATTTTTAACATAGGCCCTCAGCCTATTTTTAAATTTCATGTTGCCCTTTTTCAGTCCCTTCTTTTTTTTTTAGAAGCCTGAGAATGAAAGGACCAAACAATGTTGCTTTATCATTGGGAGCCTTTGTTTCATGAGTCATGAAACACCAGTGACATGAATTTGTTCAGCACTCAGCACAGGTTCTGCTGAAGAGAACATCATAGTTTAGTAGCAAAGACACCCAGTCTTTTAATTTCTGGCTCATGTTAGCGCTGAATGGAAGATGCTCTGTGCTTATCCTATGATAAAGCATAGAAACTCCAAGCTGAGAAAGGAATGGCAGAAGGCTTCCAGGCAGAGCATGGGGATGCTTTTGACACCTGCACTCAGTGAAAGAATAGGGGGAAAATGTGCTATTTTTCATCACCACATTCAAGTGAATCTAAGCCAACCATCACTAGGGGTCCTGCAGACCAAGTACATATCTTCTAATGGCACTGATTTCTCAGTTTCACCTCCTGTCCACTCAGTGTCATGGTTTTACTCCTGTTTTTAATGAACTAAACTGTCACAAAGTCACAAAGATGGTATTATAGACTGGAGTTACTGGCAAACAGACTTCTTTATGTGCCCTATGCTGATAGTCATTGACCTTTCACCTTCAGATCAAGATGTATTAAATTGGCTTTGAAAAACTCAGTGAGATCTTCCCTAGGTGCCACCTTGGTTTTTTTTCCACCTTGTTCCTCCTTTTCCCTGTATTTCTGGAGGCCAACAAACAATTTGTTTTCCATTTGGTCAGAAAGAAACAGGGGTGTGGTGAGTGGGGAGAGGGATGCACTTACTCCCTCAGCAAAGTAAAAGCAAAAACATCAGCTGATTGAAAAGCCCCAAACTTAAACAGGGCATTAGGCAGAATTAACAGACTAGACCTCTAAGCCATCAGAAATTCCCGGTTGAATAAAAGATTGATTTCAAAGACTCAAAGATACCTCAGGGCCAGCATTTCCAAAGAAGACAGGAGCTGATTGGAGCTGAAGCATTCCTCTTGTTCAGTGCATTTGAGTGAGCACTTTAAGTCTCCAAAGATTGAACTATAAAGAGAAATTAGTTCATTAATAATTCACAGGCTCCAAGAAGAAAAAATGTCAAAAGCATATGCTCACGAACAAAGCTGATTTTATTTTCCCTGTTTAGAATTGAGCAACATGTAGAAAAGTGGAGGGTGTCAAGCTCAAAAATTTAATTCAGGGGTTTTTCTTTTCCTTCCCTTTAACCCAGCAAGCATAATTCTGCCTTCCTCGTGAGTGCTGAAAGTTCTTCAAATCCCAAATGGTTTATGTGAAACATTAAAAGCACACTATCATCTTCAGCTCTTTAATAGTTTAGGACATTTTCATGGCATAGTTATTATCCAATAGCTCTTAATTACAGCTTGTACATTTCAAGACAACACATTCACAGTCC